CCTGAAGACACCCTGAAGGACACACTGAAGGACACCCTGAAGGACACCCTGAAGACACCCTGAAGGACACTGAAGGACACCTTGAAGACACCCTGAAGGACACCCTGAAGGACACCCTGAAGACACCTTGAAGACACCTTGAAGACACCCTGAAGGACACTGAAGGACACCCTGAAGACACCCTGAAGGACACTGAAGGACACCTTGAAGACACCCTGAAGACACCTTGAAGACACACTGAAGGACACCCTGAAGACACCCTGAAGGACACTGAAAGACACCCTGAAGACACCCTGAAGACGTCAGCAAACTGAACTCTGCTCTCATGGGACATCTCACCAGCTGTGATTTACGTGAACATGAGTGTCTGGATTTATTTACCGTACGGTAAATGTGTGTGCATTTAAATGTGTGTATTCTGCTGCAGCCGTGTACTCTGAAATACTTTGTGTATGTTTGTGTATTTGTACACAGCTGTTCTGCTTCAGTTTCAGAGTGCACCGCCACAATAAAAGCACCTGCCAACAGACACTGAATAAATCCTTGAATCTTGTTGTAAAAACTTGGAAGATGAAGAGTTTTTATTAAACTTCTCGTTGTCGGGATCCTCTGAGGATCACCCTCCACCATAAATTCATCTTTTCCCTGTAAAGAAATAATTAATCTACTTCATGTGACGGAACCAGCCGTGGCAGCACGGTGGCGCAACTGGTAGAGCTGCTGCCTCTCAGCGAGCAGGTCCCTGGTTCAAACCCCGGTCCAGGGGTCTTTCTGGGTGGAGTTTGCATGTTCTCTCCGTGCATGCGTGGGTTTTCTCCGGGTGCTCCAGTTTCCTCCCACAGACCAAAAACATGCATGTTAGGCTGATTGGTAACTCTAAATTGTCCCTAGGTGTGACTGAGAGAGCGAATGGTTGTTTGTCTTGTTTGTCTCTATGTGTCCCTGTGATGGACTTGCGACCCGTCCAGGGTGTCCCCGCCCCTCGCACAGTGATTGCTGGACATGGGCACCAGCGACCCCCGTGACCCAAAATGGAATAAGCGGGTAAAGATAATGGATGGATGGAACCAGCCGTTTACCATTTAATGGAAAACACCATTTCACAGTAATATTTGCATTATTTTATATATTTAACAGTCCATTTATCAATCAGAAGTACTGATGATCAGTATAAACTTATTAATGTTCATCTATGCAGTTTTTAAGTTTAGCTTCTTTTAATTTGTTCTTTTAGTTGCAAGAACCCGAACCAGCTCAGGCTGCGCCTCTTTACCTCGTAAACCTGAAGCTTCTTGTAAATTAGTTGGACATATTTTCAGATGTCTTTGTGTTCAGGTTCAAAGAAACAAATGAAACGACGGAAAGCAAAAGCGTCTCGTTCAGTGGCCGAACGCTCTCACCGACTTGTCTTTGCAGGTTTTCTTGAAAACAACGTTTTTTGGACTCATGGTGGAGCAGATCGGAGGCCGCTGCTCCCACGGACCTGAAGGAAAAGAAACAAAAGTCTGATGGTTCCGTTTCTTCCTGCAGGAAACAGAAAACTTTCAATTAAACTTCAAACCTTTGCCGATAATATGAACGCATTCTTGGAAGGATAACATTAATAAAATATTACAAAAAATATATAAACATTATACGCCACTGCATAGTAACAGGACAGGAAGTGATGTCAGTAACAGGAAGTGATGTCAAAGGGGAATGCCTGGTAACGACACAGACAGTACACACTGATCTGATGTTTATTTTTATTATTTAGTCACTATCGGAGAGAAACCAAGAATATCATCAAATATTGTTTCAGTGAGCAAAGACCAGGAAGTCCCCCTTTTACAAGCGCTCCCCTTTGATGTCACTTCCTGTTTCACTTCAGCTGCGCCAAGTTCAAAAGAAAATGTGCCAGTTATGTGTCAAAAGGCGTTCAATCATGTGAATTGCACTAAATTATTTAAATCTTAGGATGTTTTCTTCTTTTGTATTCGTAGGAGAAGCGGCGAGTTTAACAAATCGCCACATGTTTGACGGCACGCCGGCAGAAACACGCTTCAGGAAACACGAAGAGGCCGAACCGTCCGGAAACAACCGGAACAGTCAGAGTTACGCAGCTCGATGAAAGACAGTTTTCTAGGAACTCCTGTAGTTCTGACTAATAAAGTTTTATTTGAATGTTTTCAGTGTTTTATCCAGTGAAGATTATTAACACAACACGAACGTTTCAGCTGTTGACGTTGCTGCTTGAAGTCTGAAATTAAGTTTTTTAAATATAAATCAGCTGTTTTTACTTTTTGTAACAGTTCAGGCCAAACACATCACTGACAATCATTTCTAAAATATATTTAATATCTACAGATCAAAAATATTTCTACCATATTTCTGTTTTTACAGTTTTAAACAATGAAGCGTATTCAATGTGATGATTGACTTCTCATTAAAATTATTATTTTTCTCATTCAAAACCTGAAATTAAATGTTAAATAAACGTAAATGTTAAATAAACGTAAATGTTAAATAAACGTAAATGTTAAATAACTGGTAAATGTGGCACAGAATAAATAATAAAATGAGAATAATTGTCATATCTTATCTTCTTGGTGTTTTGGCTCCACCTGCTGGTCAAACGGAAAATCACAACAATTTCTAAAAAACGATTTTCTTTTAAAAAGAAAATAAAAATATAATTAAAAATGTAAAACATTATGTTTCATACATAACGTGTATGTTAGATATTATTATATAATTTTATATTAAATAACTTGAACAAAAAAAATTAAACCAAAGAACATCAACAAAACCTGAATCAAACTAAAACATCTTCGAGAGGGTGTTTAAATGTTTATGTTGTTTATTTATTTAAAGTGTTGGTAAACAAACAGAGCCGTGTTGAGTTCAGGGGATTAAAATGAAGAGGAGATTTAAAGACTCCTCTGCTGAGCTTCTTGAGCCTTTCAGATGATGAGGTCTAAAACAAATCACTTTAAAAAGATTCGCTCAAACACTGAAACTAATTAAAACATTTCTTTTGAAAAACGAACCTGAACTTCATTTAAATCAGTTTTCCAATAAATTAAGTTTACACAGAATAAATCTAAAGAAGAAACTTTTTATCATCTTTCCTTGAGATGATAAATCTGCTCTAACCGAATCATTTCTCTCCCACAGTCCTGAACGCACCGCACGCCACCTTCAGTAACAGGACTCGGTTTGTCCCTGAACGCCTCGTCGGGACCGGACAGAAGCAGAACTCACCTGGTGCTGCTGAGGAGCTGCTGACTGGCAGGAGGAGGCAGGAGTCGGTCCATATGCAGACACCTGCTGTCAATCATTGCTCCTCCAGCCAATCAGAGCGCTCCCCTCCATCCAGGACCCAGACCAAACCCAGATGGACTTCCTGTGAGAGGATTGGAGCTGGTTCCACCTCCGTCAGCAGATCCAGTCCTGGATTAAATCAGAGACATGAGGAGAGAACGAGGGAGGAGTCTCAGTCTGAAGCTGTCCCCTCATCCCCATGACCCCTGACCCACAAACCTCTGGTCCTCATCCCCATGACCCC